GCAAAGAGTTGTTTTCTGCAACTTATTGCACTTAACTCTTTTTAACGTCAAGCAATTCTCTGCTATATGCGTCAAACTAAAACTTTGACCTTTTGCAACATTTTGATTTAAGTAGCCTATTATTAAAATGATTCAGATATCGCACGCCCTTGCAATATGCATATTGCCATATTTGCATTTGCGATATTTTGATAATTTCTATATATCGTGCAGCCCTTCTTATACAAAAGGGTTGAAAAAAACTTCTTATACAAAAGGGTTGCAAAATGCAAAACTATGAGAATTTGTGAACTCTTTATAGAGCTGAATTTCCACAAACAAATAAATAAATGCCCCCCCCCCCCCAAAAAAATAAATAAATACTATTCAAGTTTTCTACTTCAAAATTTTGTGGATAGTTTGATGAGTTACTTGCCGTTTCTTTGTAATTATTGGTGAATTTTACTAACAAGTGAAAATTGTTTAAAAGAAAATCCAATTTTCAGTTTCTGTGTATAGGCTATGGTTAACACACACATATTGGTGTTGAAACTGATCACTTTCTTGTAAATTTCAATTGACGTTTGGTTAAATGGGTAAACTGGTGTTGAATGTTAATTTTTAGGGCTGGAAATGAATTGCTATTGGTATTTACTGACTTAATCTCTCCCCAATTGATTTATTCTCTTGAAAAAATGCTAGATTTCACATGGGCAGCTGTGTCAAACAGATGTTTGCAGTATGTTTGGCTTTGCCGGGGTGTGGTTGTGTTACCGTGTTTTTTAATTCACTTGTTAAAGCTCTAATGACCGTGGTGAAAGCAGACGCGCTCTCCGTGTCGCTGTAGCTGGGGACATTTTCATGTGAAATTGTTTTATATGGCCATTTTGTGCATTTACAAGATCCATTCATTTACCTAAGCACATTCTAGAGATTTACAAGTTAAATTTTAAGCAACCCAAACTTCATAACAGGAAAATATAGTTAAACAAGCAGCGAATTCCCCACGAGGTAGGCGGTTTGAAACGAGCCCGAGAAAACAGAAGCTGTGGTTGTTTTTCTGTATTTCAAAATTACCAATACTAACCATATCCTGTTATTGGAGCGCGGGTATCTTTATTGCATTGTGACTGATGTGAGTAACGCACAGATTTCCTCCGGTCGTTCTCGAAGCATGACTGGACTGGACACCACTGTGTCACCCTATTAGTGGGATTGTATTTTTGACATTGTGGTTGAGTGGGTGTGGCCCAAACCCTAATTTTACCATTTGCTGCGGTCTGTTGTTGGTGTAATTTTGCTTAAATAACGGTTTGGATTCGATGTGTTTTTTCTTTTTTAATAGCCCAGCATCCTGCAGGTCCGTCGTACAGTTCCTGGCCCTTTTCCGCACACAAAATGCACATCACAGCTATGCCCAGATGCTCTAATGTAAATGTTGATTCACAACCAGCAGTCTGACCATCCGGAAAGAGCCAAGACGTCGTGCGTGCCAAGAGCAAAATAGATCTCAGCTGAAGACTGGCATGTTGAGTTTGCTTCACGACTCTGTCCAGGGCCTTCGTTTGATTCACAGAGCAGCCGTCGGTAACGCATGTCAAACGTCTCAAACCATCAGTGGCTTTGCTGTCAGAACGAGAAAGTGTGTGTCTGGCCGGGATGAGGGTGTATATGCCACACAACTTCAGAAATGTCAACCCGTACAGCAAGTACATCTACTACACATTCTTTATTATGAAAATTTTGCACATTTTAGAGTAGCAGTGAAGTCATGAAAACTCAAATAGAAGTATAGGAATATAATATGTATGGGAATCAGTGTTAATTGGTTGCTTGATTAACATCAATGATTTGTACAATAGCAACTAAATTAGGCTGCTGTCCCTTTAAAACCAGATACACGGATGCAATGTACTGATACACGTCCAATATTCTCCCAACTGTTTATGTTCACATAAGACATAACCGAGTGTGTTTACGTGAATACTCGTCAAAACGGACAATTCAACATCATTTTGTGTGTAATTCTCTGTTCATGTGACGCGAAAGAGTACTCGCGCGCTGTGAGACGCGCTGTCTGTGTGTGTATGCTTCAGTGTCTGCGCTCAGAAAACCAGACCGAATTGAGTTCTCTCTTGCGTCGTCAGATTTATCCATATGTCTGCTCTTCTCTTACTCCCACATATTGACATTTTTTAACGTTTTATGCGACGTGCAGCAAGTGTATGTTAACTTATGTCCCGCCGGTTCATATGTACGCATCTAACCTCCGAACCACGCAGCAGATTCGTTCTGAATGAATCTCTTCCCAGATTGTCCCTCCCTAACATTTTCGTCTTATTTTTATTCGTTGACGAAAATGTCAGTAGATTTACGTCATAGTTTTTGTCATTCAAAAAGGGTTTTAGTTCGTTATCGTCTCGTTGTCATCGGTGAAAAAAATGTCGTTGACGAAAATTATGACAAATTATTAGTCAACGAAATTAACACTGATGGGAATAATAATAAAAACTGTTATATTTGAATTTATTGACTAGATTTTAGCTCTGCTCACTATGAACATTATTCTCACTATGGCCATAAAAACAACACATTTTTAAGGAATTAAGCGCATTAAGGAATTTATTCAGTAAAAGTGTTTCCATCATAGTTTATGCGCAGGTAGACGGAAACATGTCAGCTAATTTCAATAGCAAAACAAAAAAAGATAATAAATTAAAGAACAAAACAAAACAAAAAAATCTCAGGTGTTATGTAATGTGATACACAAAAATACTGACTCAACCAATGGCGTGAATTTAGGGTTTAGGGTGAATTTATTTCTGTTTGGCTGACCAATGGCAGTGTTTGGGAAACCAGTTTAAAATTGTCATTAAGTTTGCATTTCTGGTGTCTCTAGTGGCACAGAAATGAGATACTTCACCTTTAATTTCTAAATTATTTGCATTCAATTTCAAACCAAAGTAACTCTTGTGATACATACATTTACTGTTATATAAAATTCCTCCTATTAAGACTATTCTTTAGAGCAGTGAACTTTCCTCAGCTGATTTTTGGGCCGTATCAACCCTCTACATTGCGAGTAAATCACTCGCAAATGCGACTAAATCTTACTCTGGGCGACTAAATAATGTCTAACATTAGCCATTGGCTAATAAATTCTTAGATTTTACACACCAGTATGTGTGTGAGAGGTTTGATTTCAGCAAATCAGTTCGAGCGAACGCTGACAACGTGATTAATATTCATGAACCCAGCAGATAATAATAATAGTAGTAGTAGTAGTAGGCATCCGTCTGTCTCGGGAGACAATGGTCTGCTACAATTGTAAAAATGCAGAAAGTTTTCTGTGAGGGGTAGGGGTGGGTTTAGGTTAAAAAGTGTATAACTATCTGTATATAAAAACAATAGAAGTCTATGTAATGTCCCCATTTAGATAGCTAAGTAAACGTGTGTGTGTGTGTGTTTGTGTGTGTGTGTGTAAAATAGTATATCAGTCTGGCGAGTAAACAAAAAAATTTACTAGCCAATGGCAATTATATTGCCAAGGTGTGCGTAGATGGTTGCGTATAGTTATTCTCTTTTAGTTGCTAGTTAAACTCTCTTGTGGGTCAACAGCAAACGTCATGATCTCTTCTGTCCGTCTGTCTCTCTGCTGTGGAGTTTTATTGGTCTGATCAAGACACTCCTGTCATTGAGTTAGTGTGAGTGATGTGTCAGTGTCTCCGCTCACTATTTACAGCAGTTCAGTCAGCAGTGCATCTGAATTATATTGCAAATGTTGGTTTACAGTGCTGTGTTGACATCACTGCAGTAGAATGTAAGCAAACACAGCAGATCCAGTGCTCTGACATTTCCAATGCTAGATATGATCCTGTTTGTTTAATTGGCATTGCACACAATGAAGTTTAGATTTTTGACATGTCAGAAAACAAACACATCATGTTTAGGAGCCAAAAATACTTCCAGCCAATGGAAACTCATGATCATATGTCAAGTTTGCTATCGGTAAAATAAACGTGTTAAACTTTGAAAATGAAGAGGAAAAAAACAAAAGTAAAAGATTGTGTACTTACAGTAAATAGTTTTATGTGGGAATGAACTACTCATCCCATGATGCACTGCAAATGATGTAATCAAATCAAGCTTACATTTATGTATTTGGCATAATCTTTTATCTAAAGTGACTTGTATAAATTTCATCAGTTTATGCATTCACTGAAATTGAACCCATGAGCTTGGCGTTGCTGTTGCCATAACGTACCGTGGTTCTTACCCAGAAATTAAATATAATTTAAAGAAGGTTGACACATTGATCGCTCTCCCTTTCAACTTAATTATGATTGATTGAATGTTTAATTCATTCATTCATTTCATTCATTCATTCATTCATTCATTCATTTTTGAGTATATTTATTTTTCTTTTCATTGATTCATTATTTTCTATTTATTTATTTATTTATTTATGTATTCAATCGTTAATGTATTTTTAGTATATTTATTAATTTATTTGCTTATTCTTTTTGTTCTTGTTTATTAATTAATTATTTTTATTTTTATTCATTCGTTCATTCATTCGTTCATTCATTCATTCATTTTATGAATATAATCATTCATCTTATTAATATATTTATTCATTTAATTTGTTAATTTTCTTTTTATTAATTTATTTATCTGTTTGTTAATTCATTCGTTCATTCATTCATTCATTTTTTTGTATTTTTATTAATTTATTTGCTTATTTTTCTTTTTATTCATTTGTTTATATTAATTTATTTGCTTATTTTTCTTTTTTTTCATGTATTTATTCATTCATTATTTTTTTCTTTTTATTCATTTGTTTATATTTATTTATTCATTAATTTATGTATTAATTAATTAAATTATTTATTTATTCATTTACTTATTCATTTTATTTCCTTCCTTCCTTCCTTCCTTCATTCATTCTGTTCTTTTCATTCATTCATTCATTCATTTTTTGGTATATTTATTAATTTTATTTGCTTATTTTTCTTTTTATTCATTTGTTTTTATTTATTAATTCTTTTTTTAAATACATTTATTAATTCATTCATTTTTCATTTATTATTTATTTATATATCTATCCATTCATTCATTATTTTTTTTGTATATATATTAATTTATTAGCTTATTTTTCTTTTTACTTATGTATTCATTCATTTATTCATTCATTTATCCATTATTCATTCATTAATTTTTTTATTAATTTATTTAGTTAATAGTTTTTAGTTGTTCAGAAGTCAACCCGTTACTCTGAGCATCTCTCTTGAGTAACTGAGTTTAATGAGACCCACAAAGCGTCCTGACACTCTCTCAGTTTCAACTCAAACCCGTTTCCGCTGCTCAGACTTTCTCTATCTCTCCGCAGACGCGAGGAGCGAGGGGAATGGCACGCGTCAATAATCACTCACTTCTCTTCATTAGGCGCTGGCAGCAGAAGCTGTGATTTGCGGGTGGCATGTGTTTGTGATTTGCAGCGGGGTTCACGTGTTGTCCTGCACTCAGACCCAGGTGCTTCTCAGCAACTTTTACCTCAAATGAAAGTGTCCTGCCTCGGGTTTATTAGGATGAATGATCTGTGTTCTTGTTCAATCAGACCTCAGTGCAGGAGTCACAGACTGTGCCATTTATGCTGTTTTGCGTTTTCTAGAGCATGTTGAGTCAAATTGAGTCTGCAGAATTGAATCTAACAATCCAAAATATACTGTACATTTAATTTTTTGCATTTTCTGACCAAACATCTTTGCACATTTTATTTTTCATCAACCTCTACACGATTAAACTTATTTGATTAATAATCATTTAAAAGAGAGATTAATTTGTGTGCTCAAACTTTGTGGCTGATTATTTTTCTAACAAAACATCTATACAAAATATCTACAAAGATTTTTGAAAGAAGACTTTTCTGTTCACCAATACTGCATGTATTTGATCAAAAACACAGGAAAAACAGTAATATTGTGAAATATTTTTACTATTTTAAATAACTGCTTTGTGTGTTAATATATTGTATCATTTAATTTATTTGTGTGATGCAATGATGAATTTTCAGCTTTGTTTAATGCTGAAAACATTTGAAAATTCAGCTTTGCGTCACAGAAATGAATTACATTTACAGAAATGAATTTACAAAAAAGTTATTTTAAATCCTAATAATATTTCACAATATTACAGTTTTTCCTGTATTTTTGATAAAATAGCCTTGGTGAATAGAAGAGTCCTCATTCAAAAACATTAAAAAAATCTTAATGATTCTTCAAAAGCATCTTGATGAACTTTTGACTTTCAGTGTATTTTATGTTTTCTACATTTATTAAGCTTGTTGGATAGCTCATAAATGATGTAAATTAGCATCTGAGAGAATAATTAATCCCATTTATGTCTGTTTGACCTGTGTTGAAACATGTCCACCGTGGATATTTCAGAAACGTGCTCCCTGATCGCACATGAAATGGTTGTATTTGTTTGGACGAAGTCAAATAAGCGGTGGGTAATAAGTGTTGAAGGTCTCAATAACGCTTGCCAATGCATTGAACAAAATAACAAACTGAGCTTTCACTTTCAGCTGGAGCTGCCACAACTGTTTATTTTAGCAGACAGTGTCTGCCAGTAACTTTACAGATTTTTAAACACACACATTCAGAGCTTTTGTGTCATTTGACGGGTAGAAACAGAGCAG